TGTGCAAGCTCCGACGCCATCGTCAAGGAACCCTAGACAGATAGTTGCGACTATTTCCTAAACCCTTATTAATTTCTTCTTTCCCAAAATATAATTGTAGGGCGGTGCCTGTTCTGGCTAGTTCGTCTGCTTCGTAGTTACCACGCATGTCACTATGTCATGGAACCCAATGCGAAAGAGAATATTAGATTCACCAAGAGATCAAGCCATTATTTTACTATCTCTGCTGAAACCTTAAGATACTTTAATGATTTCAAAACCGCTTGTGTTTCTATATATGCAAATAGTTATATTCCTTTTAGTGAACACACTATTTGTCAGAACAAGAAGGCTTGTTTTTTTACTTTCTCTGACCTCCGCTTGCAAGACACTGTARTCGTCAGGCAGACGAAAGACGATTGTGGTATCTAATTTTTTTGTAAAAACTTCACCTCCCACYCGTTTATTTGGTTTGGACATATCAGTGTTGAAGCTTATCCATGCGCCTCTGCCCAAAAAATTTCGAAAATCTGTTTTCTAAGTTGAAGAATTCTGTCAGTCCAAGTTCTAGGTTAGGTAGGTTAAATTGCTGATCGAAAATCGCACGTGGACTGCCATATCCTGTGTTTGTTAAGCCATTGAAAAGAATAACTCCTGTAATCGAAATTAGCAAAACGCTTAGTAGCCAATGCAAATTTGCACAGGCGTTTAATTTCAACTCCCGCCAGTACGGTKGGGTGTCTGAAGGTGTGCGCTCCCAAGTATTTAAGCCTTGACCTCCCAAAAGCGGAACAGTGAAGAAGGAAGTGTTGATATGTTTCCACCTCATTCTTCTTCAAAATAGCGTCTGCAAATAGCGTCTGGTAAGATTTTCAACCTTACAGCTTGGACACCAATAGGATAACAGCCTGAAACCAGAGGATACGGTAGCACCGACCCGCTCCCATTCTATCGATAGCGGTTCCAGAAGACATTTCCTTGATACATCATCAGCTTTGCAATATCCTGCGATTACGCTATGGCCCGACACCCAAACCAGTCTTATCACAAAGACACTCCATGCTATGGATAACGAAATTAGGCACTCTTCGACCAACCCCAAACGCAYTGTAAATAAGTTCATGGCCAGTATCGCCCCTCTGCTATCTGTGTGCATGGTCTTTTCTCTGAAGCAGATTGCACTCCGGATAATGGCTGCAACCTCGGCTTGGATAACACTGCAATAGTCAGAATGTCTGAAACTGGAGTTGACCGTGAGCTCTTGACAGTAAACCCCTCCACCAACATACCCCCCTTTGACGCATCCGTAAAGACGTTCACTGCCGCTCTCCTTCAACGTCTTTTTCTAGAGTTGATGGAGAGCTCCTGGTAGTAAACCCTCACCGCCGCTCTCCTTTAACGGCTTCTTCCCACCCACAACTCCCTCATTGATATATGAGCAGAGAAGGAGCCGCCAGTGTTCGGTTTGGCAACTCCATGTTCCAAGTGTTCCGGTATGAAATTAAAGTGCGTGAGATCCAGAGASATGGGCAGATCCGCATATCGTTAAAATTTCCAACGTTGAAATTATTGACTTGTGCAAGATATTAATTTCCCGAGGTGTTAAGAGATGCCCAAATCTTTAAGCGCGCTCAGTGCGGCCTCACTTCGTATTAAATAGTTGACATATATAATGCTGAAAAATATTGTAATTCAAGAACGTTTTTGCTGCGCCAAACTCACTGTGCAGCAGCGCGTCGAGCGATGCCACGGATTTGACTTCCTGTACTAACTATCTTGGCGGAAAGCTGACATTTCACATGCGAAAATAAATTAGTTTTCCATGTTGCTTTGTCAGTTATCACACGGCAATGCTTGTTTTATATCGGTGAATTCTAATATTTGCGCCCGCTGCCCAGCCAGTGGTGGCAGTAGTGGGTCCATCGCTGCGACGGTGGTGTCTGCAACTTGTTGATCAGTGGTTCGTTAGTATATTTGTCATTCTGCAAGCGCGGCAAACATATTGTTTTTGTAGAGTACATATGTCTGTACAGTTGGCTGTACGTTTTGGATGCTCAGCTGTGCTCTGCCATTTTTTGGCGTTCCAGTTTTGTTGACTTACCGCAAGTCAGAGCGSTATTCTTAGGCACCACCATAGACCACTTGCAATTGCGGCTTTGACATTGCGCTCGGCCAGTTATGTACGCACATATATAGTATTTCCATGTTGTTATATACATTTTTACATGGATTCGCCGCACGCAGTTAAAATAAAGTGTCTTCTAAGGCTGCTTAAGTTGTTTTATGACCAAAAGATTGTGGAAACGCAATGGCATTGCTTGAAAGCATTAGAGATATTAGCTGGCAATGGCAATGTGCCATTGGTGGGTATTAGCGCAGCAACACGCTGACACGCATGCGCTATTTATCACGCACACACATTCACAWRTGCATGACATGTGTGTCTAGACGCGCCAAGCATGCGCGCTGTGTATTATAGAGTTATGCAATCAGCTGCGCATGCGCGGTCGCAACGAGTCACGTGAATGAATTGCAATCACTTTTAAGCGAAAAGCAATTTGCTAAATCGGTAAGCGTTATATTTGTGACAAATTGTACTGCGGAAGGGATAGGAAAGAGTCGCACAGCCACACACAGATATGGACAAATAACTGGATCGTAAATATATTTTTATGATTCTAGAAAGTGAACTGGTACTTATRTGTATAGCTTCGAACAGATTTGTACAGAACTAAGAGCTGTCACAATCGTAGGAGTTCGTACTAGATGCTGCACAATAGGCATCCTTGTTGAACTTTAGTTTCCGAACTTGTATGGCAGTGGATGAGCTGAAAAAATCCARGCACTTTCTCCTCCATTATCCAGYATTTGCAAGACTGRGGTTAAAATATCTCGATGGTCTTCTCTTGGGCGAAGTAAATAACATAGTCGAAACTGGCATTATAAGGGACTCATTCCGATTGTCATAATATCCTTTCCAGACTTTATTGTTAWCGGAAAATATTTCGTCGGTTTCGTTGTGTCTCAAGCTACGTACCGCGTTGTCAATTGTTTTCACTCTCATATCGGGTACGAGTTTGGCCGCGGAACTGTGTTTGGTAATGCCCAAATTGGCATCAACAAATTTGTTGATTTCCAAGTGCCTTATGKTCTATTATATAGGAGTTTTAKATACCATAAAGGACCGGCATTCATAGCTGTCTAAGTGAAATTCCTTTAAGGATCGACTTCTTAACCTAACCTCACTTAAGCTAAGAGCTTTGGAAGCACCAATTCGTACGTCCGCCAACGCCACGACCAAATTAGTTGAATGCGACTACGAACTGTTGCTCMGTGGACCGTATTCTCCAGATCTGGAGCCATGTGGATATTTTTTTGACTCCAAACCTGCCTAAGTCACACGTAAAAAAAAATATAAAAATAAAAATAAAAAAATATGGATAACTGCTTTACAGACCTCCAGAACACATATTATTTGACGATTCAAATAAGTTAGACCAAAGCTGGGTCAAATATATCGYGCTAAACGAAGACTAAATTGCGTAAAAACCCGAAATTTTTCTATAATTCTCGTTCTGCTTTAGTAAGCTAAATACTTATCGGCCCGCTCCGTATGTGCCACATATACAATTCAACACACTGAAAGTGCATATGTCGCTCTTTTTGAAGTCACTGACCTTTGTGAAATTGAAATTGAAATCGATGCGTTTCTTATCGTGATTGCATCGCTGGTCCGTGATGCAAGAAATCCATCATTGATATGAGTGTTTTTGCAGTTGTTTTTGCGCGGCACTCAACTCATCTTCTGCTATGCATGCGTACACTGTTGGGTGGCCRCAGGGATGTCTTTGGCAGTGGTTGGTATTGTCTGAGCGCCGATTGTGTTAATCAGATTAACGAGACTTTGGCTTGATGTGTTGCAACATGTGAGCGCTGCCACATCCACACAGGAAGCTGAGCGATAAGATCGAATTTGTGTGTTCTTCGTGAAATTGATTTCATATAACAATATGAATGTATTAAGTACTTATGTGATTTCGGCATACTGATATTGGTTTGGCGTGGTGATAGAAACCAAACCAACAAAGATGGTCTGGAATTATTTTATTTACAAATTTTAATTATTTATTTACGTATGTAATATTTTATTCAATAGTATATAGGTAGGTGATTTATTTACGAAAAATCGACAGTTTGTATAGCACCCTTATACTATAGTAGCTCGATCTGAACAGTTCTTTCGGAGATTGCAGCGCAGCCTTGAAAAATGTTCTATGCMAAATTTCGTGAAGATATCATGATAAATAAATAAGTTTCCTAAGGAGCCGCATTTCGAGCGACTATCTATCAGGAGCGCAACATGCTTGCTCGTATTATAAAGGCAAGTCAGTGGATACTGCCCTGCATACTACCGTATCACAGCTTGAGGAAGCCATTTGGATTAAGGATAACGTTGTTGGGACCTTCCTTGATATTGATGGAGCTTTCAGCAACCTTCTGGCTCTGGAAAGCCATTCGTCACTGCTCTAGACGGTCTTGTGGTTGAATCAAACCTCAAACACCTCATTCTCAATCTTCTGTGCGAATGAGTGATTGAAACGGAATGGTGTAACACACGAAATGTACTAGGGGTAYCCCAAAAAGTGGATCCCCTTCTATGAATCCTAATCGTTCACGACCTGCATAAAAAACGTGAGGTTCGTGGCTGCCTGGTGAATGGCTATGCAGACGATGTAGCGCTTATGGTCGAAGGAAAGTTCGTGAGTACCGTGTACGCGTTAACGAAGGGGTTTCTTAGCGTCGTAACAAATTGGGCGGTGGAAAATGGTCTCGCCAACAAACCGAGATGGTATTACTCACTAGAAGATATAAAATCCCGGTGGCACCGCTGCTGMAAATGTAGCCAGCAACCGGCGAATATAGTAAAATATCTAGACAATCTTAATCCTGGATAGGAAATACTRCTGTAAAGGAGTCATTGGCAAGAGATGAGGTCGCTCACCGAAAGTGGTCCTCTGGCTCTATGACGCCATAATCAAGCCCATTATTCTATGGATGCGATAGTGGCTGTTAGACTCAGAAAATCTGGGTTGTTAAAAGAATGCGTATATGTGCACTCGGATATTCTCACACACTTTAACTTCAAAYCGGATGGAGTCGCCAAACCGAACTCTTTGGGCTTATTCTCTGCCTATATACTGACGATGGACCATGGGTGGCAAGAAGCCGTTAGAGGAGAGTGGCAGCGAGCTTCTTTACGGATGGGTGGAGGCTTGGCAGGAAGGTTGGTGGAGGGGTTTACTGTCAGGAGCTCACTGTCAACTCACTAAAAATCAGAATCAGACATCGAAATTTATGGGCTACATACA